GGTGTTTCTTTGTGTTTTAACGTTTTCTGACTGATCAACGTTGCAGTTTTAACTTAAAAACCACAAAAACAAAAATAAAAGCACGACCTGTTCAGGGTGTTAATGAAGAAAATCTGAAAGTGAAAAGTGTTGAAGTGTGATGGTGGAGCAGACGTAGCTGGATGAGCAGAGACCAGCGAACGGGCTGGTTGGTAGGCGACAGACTGACAGGGAGGATGAAGGTGATGATGATGATGTCACTGTTTTGTTTCCGCAGCGTTGCCATCAACGTGGCCGCCACCGTCCCCGTCCCTAAAGGCTCCGTCAGGTGAGACGCTCCCATTCAAATGCAGCTTGTTATGGAAATGAGTCGTATGTAAACGCGGTCGCCCTGCAGCAGCCTCACGCTGAGCTTTGAATGTGTTGTTTTATTCCTGGTGAGTCACGAAGTCCATCAAGAGTCCAGACAGAGGAAGTCAGAGGAGTTCCTCGTCTCTGTGAGGAAATCAGACTCTGGGTTTTAAATAGAAAACAACACTAGCAAAGTAGGAAGCATGACCGATGAGCACCAGGAAGCCTTTCTCATTTGCTATGTAAAGTCATGGAAATGTGAAGTCAGTGGACGGTGCAGCGCTGCAGGTGCTGCAGCTTCTGTCGACGCTCAGAGACCAAGGTCCTCCTCCTTAGTTTTATATTTGTAACAGAACTGAGCTCTTCGTGTTTCACCAAATCAGTCTGAGACAATAAATCTGTTTATAACTGAGCTGCCCTTCAGTTTGACCCAGTTACAGCTGAAATACAAACCAGAAGCAGGCTAACCCAGTCTAAAACCAGACTAGCTCAGGCTAACCCAGTCTAAAACCAGGCTAACCCAGTCCAAAACCAGGCTAGCCCAGTCCAAAACCAGTCTAGCTCAGGCTAACCCAGTTGAAAACCAGCCTAACCCAATCCAAAACCAGTCTAACTCAGTCTTACTCAGTCTTACTCAGTCTAACCCAGTTCAAAACCAGTCTAGTCCAGTCCAAAACCAATCTAAAACCAGTCTAACCCAGACCAAAACCAGACTAACCCAGTCTGAAACAGTCTAACCCAGTCAAAAACCAGTCTTACTCTGTCTAACCTGGTTGAAAACCAGTCTAAACCAGTCCAAAAGCATCTACAACCAAGCCCAGAAGCAGTCTAAAACCAAGTTCATATGTGGTCTAAAAGTGGTCTAAAACCAGGTTTAAAAGCGGGTAAACCAGGGCCAGGAGCAGTCTAAAGTGAAGTCCAGTACTAAGCCCTGAAGCAGTCTAAACCTGGTCCAAAACCATGTCCCAAACCAAGTCTTAAACCAGTCCAAAGTCCAATTTGGAGTCAAAATAACACCAAGAACAGCTCCCACAGTTTGGAACCACTTTTAAACCGAATCCAAAGCCCGACTCAGACCCGTCCAAAACAGGTCCAAAGTCATGGCCAAGACCGAGTCACTTGGTTTTGAACTGGGTTTTGGAATTGGTTTATGATTTGGGTTCTACTGGTTTCAGAGTCAGTCTGGGATTAGGACTGGGTCAGAGTCTGAACCAGAACCAACACCAGCAGTTAGAAGAATCTGGACCAACTAGAGGGTAATAAGAGATGTGACAGGAGGTGTCAGGTGATGCTGACGGACTCCATCCAACCAACCAGGAGGCTGTTTGTAGCTAAAGTCGTCCTTCCCTGTGTCTGAGTTCACCTCCGTGGAGCTGCAGCTTCTGTTCGTTCTGTTCTGACGGGTTACGTCAGCCCAAAGCCGCCGTCAGGATTATCTATCAAATCAGCTCTGAGAGCGTTTCCGCTTCGCCGACTCTGCAGCTGAACCCGACGACCCCTGAACCCAGACCTGAGCCTCCGTTCTGTTTGTTGCTCCTCAGCTTGTCTCAGGAGCTCAGCAGTCCGGACCAGAGCGCCGAGCTGAAGCCCCAGAGCCGAGCCGTGGTCTGGACCATCCCCCGATTCACCGGAGGGACGCAGCTCTCCGCCCTGTTCAAGGTGACGCCTCGTCCTTCGTAATGCAGCGAACACATTAGCAGAATTAAACGGGGCTGCGGGTCAGAACATGTGAGACGTGGAAGCTGCTCATGAACACCAACACGTTGGTAGAACATCATCCAGTCTGACTGGAGGAGTTTAGAAATGTTTTTACAGGTTGTTGACGTGCAGCAGTTAGTGGAGCAGGAATCATGAGGTCACAGCTTTATTAGTGCAGGAGTCCTACTTTAACCTGAACCTCGTCTCACGTTCCTTCACTGAGGTTCAAGTTTAAAGTCCTGCAGCTCTGAGGAACCAGAACATGAAGCAGGAGGAGAACTCAGAGATGATTCTGTCAGCAGGACTCAGAACCGTGGAGACCAGAGAACAAAGCTTTTAATCACTTGGACTGTTTCTGAGTCGTTCTGGACAAACTTCAAGTCACTAACGTCGACTTTTGACAAAGACTTTGAACAGATTTTTAGTTCTTGTGGCCAAATTTCAAGTCCTTTCTGTGATTTCCAGTAAACGTCCGGTGATTTTGGGGTCATTCTGGACACGTCTCAAGACAAAAACATCGACTCTTTGGGCCATTTTCAGTCATTTCAACAAATTCTTTACATTTCAGACAAATTTAAAGTCATTCTGTACATTTTTATCACTTTAATGAACAAACTTTGAGTAATTTCATCAACAACACTGATGTTGAGTCCCGTCTTTAATCAGATTTAGCTTTCAAGTCATACTGGACCATTTCAATCCAGGTATTTATTGTTTTGAAGGTGTTTTCTACCCAAACACGACTTCTTCTACTGCAGCAGGATGTCAGAAACACAGAACTCTGGACAGAATCGACTCAGGT